TTTTCAGCTTTGATTTACTATGAAAAGGTTTCTCACACTCTGCACACTTGTGAGGCTACTTTCCTGTGTGACTTCGGGTGTGCGTGCGAAGTGTTGAAGGATAGACAAAACATTTCCCACACTCCAGACATTTATATGGTTTCTCTCCAGTGTGGATTCGCTGATGCGTCACAAGAGAATCTTTCCGTGGAAAACATTTATCACATTCTGAGCATTTATGGGGCTTTTCTCCCGTATGGATTCGGCTGTGACTTATTAAGTTACATGAATGAGCAAATGCTCTCCCACAGTCTAAACATTTGTAGTTTTTTTCCCCTGTGTGAGTTTTCTCATGACTTTTAAGGGCTGATGAGGTACTATAAAATCTTCCACAGTCGTTGCATTGATGTGGCTTCTCCCCTGTGTGGGTTTTATGATGACCCAAAAGGCCTCGCTTGTCTACAAAGCACTTTCCACATTCTATGCATCTGTATGGCTTCTCTCCTGTATGGAACCTCTGATGCCTTCCAAGATGTTGTTTTTGGGAAAAGCATTTCCCACACTCCCCACATTTGTAGGGTTTCTCCCCTGTGTGGATTCTCTGATGAATCTGAACATAGGCTGGCGAAATAAAACTTTTCCCACACTCCCCACATTTATAGGGTAGGTCCCCTTGGTGCCACTTCTGGTGTCTCTGAAGTTCATGAGAATACATAAATCGTTTCTCACATTCTGGGCATTCATAGGGTCTCTCTCCAGTGTGAAGTTTTTGATGTCGCTCCAGGCTTGATTTCAAGGTATAACATTTCCCACATTCAAGGCACTTTTTGTTTTTCTCCCCTCTGTGTGTTTTCTCATGTTTCCGAAGACCTGAACTCTGGGTAAAACATTTTCCACATTCAAAGCATTTGTAAGACTTTATTCCTACATGAATCTTCTCATGAAGCCAAAGACTTGAATTCTGAGAAAAGATCCTCCCACATTCCCAACACTTGTAAGGTTTCTCCCCTGTGTGGATTCTCTCGTGGTCTCTGAGAGTGCCTTTTCTACGGAAAGATTTCCCACATTCCACACATTGATAAGGTTTGTCTGCAGTGTGGATTTTCTGATGTCTAAGGAGGTGTGACTTTTGACTAAAGCATAAGTCACATTCCTCACATTTATGGGGTTTTAGTATTGGGGAGCTCCTGAGATCTTTGGAGTTTTTACCAGAGAAAGATTTCTCACCCTCCAAACTTTGACTAGATCCCTTTCCCATATGGACCTTCCTGTGGGTCAAAAGGAGGGACCTGCGAGCAAAGGATTTCCTACACTCTGAGCATTCATAGGTTCTTTTGGGCGTTCTTGAAGTGCTTCTTGTGTCTGATGGGAGATCCAAGCGATTCCCAGCCTCCATGCTTTATGGTGGCTGCTATCTTGGGTTGAATTTCTACTATCTGTTGATAGTCGCCTTTCAGGTAAATCTTTGGCCGCAGCTGTTTTCCTGCTGGTGGAAGAAAAAAGAAGATGAGAACATTATTTCCTTTCGAGAAACACAGAAAAGCACAAAATTGTTGTGGGCCAGATGCTGACACTTGAAAACTACTCAGAGGGTGCTGTAAATCACTATGTATCTGTCAACGTGCTATTGCCAATAACAACCACAAAATCAAGGGCGGAATTGCAGTTCTTGAGCAAAGCTGTTATGTGATGTCTCCAGTAATTATCACTTTGCTCAAGTGTGATTGCAGTCCAGTTGACGAAATGCGAAAGTTAAGGCAAAAAATTCCATTGCATTGTCGTTTTGTCAAGTGAAGATAAAAAACAAATGAAGAAAAAGAAATGAGTCCCAGGATTAAGTTGCAGGATCCAATCTGGGTCGGTCACTGGGATCATCAGAGGTTTTGTCTTTCGAGCTTTTTCGACTAAAATAGATAGATAGAGGGGGGGAGGGAAGAGAAACATAGAGAAACAAAGACAGAGAAACATCGAGACAACAGACACACAGAGACAC